CTTATCCAATGAATTATCCCCCCACATTTCCATAATTATTGCCCCTTGTTTTTTGCATGAAAATACAATAGAAAATACACAATAGCAATAGATGGAATAGTCGTTTTATATAACTCTACCTCAATTACCAAGTTTAACTATTTGTTCTCGTCTACCTATACCCAAACCAAATCTAAATAATAAGCTCATTAATATGGATAGATATCCGACGGCTCAATCTGTTTACTTTTTTTAGTATTTGAATGATTTTAGTAAAAGATTGGGCCAAATTGAATTGCAATTCAGAAGAGAAGGGGGTTAGTGATTGCTTAAATTCCCTCTACCCATCCCTTATCTCCGAATTAAGTTATAAGTTATCTCTATTTATCTCCTGCAAGAGCCTCCTTATTATCTCTTTCTTTCTTCTCATTTGGATCCAAGGTATCCACTGGTTTAAAGTCAAATTGAATCTCCTTCCATACCTCACAAGCAGCAGCTAGTTCAGGGCTCCATTTACTAGCCTGTCGAAGAATTTCATTACCTTCCTGAGCAAGATCATGCCCTTCGTTACGAGCTTGTACACATGCTTCTAGAGCGACTCGATTCGCTACGGCACCAGGCGCATTACCCCAAGGGTGACCTAAAGTTCCTCCCCCAAACTGTAGTACGGAATCATCCCCAAATATCTCAGTTAGAGCAGGCATATGCCAAACGTGAATACCCCCAGAAGCCACAGGCATAACACCGGGTAAAGAAACCCAATCTTGAGTGAAATAAATACCACGACTTCGGTCTTGTTCAACAAAATCATCGCGTAATAAGTCAACAAAGCCCAAAGTCATCTCTCTTTCCCCTTCTAGTTTACCTACTACAGTACCCGCGTGAATATGATCTCCACCGGATAGCCGTAACGCTTTCGCTAGTACGCGGAAGTGTATACCATGAGTTTTTTGTCTATCAATAACTGCATGCATTGCACGGTGGATGTGAAGAAGGAGACCATTATCACGGCAATAATGAGCCAAAGAAGTATTTGCAGTGAATCCCCCTGTTAAGTAGTCATGCATTATAATAGGAACTCCCAATTCTTTAGCAAAGAAAGCTCTTTTTAGCATTTCTTCGCATGTACCTGCAGTAACATTCAAGTAATGTCCTTTTATTTCACCTGTTTCAGCCTGTGTTTATAAATTGCTTCGGCACAAAATAAAAAACGGTCTCTCCAACGCATAAAGGGTTGTGAGTTTACATTCTCATCATCTTTGGTAAAATCAAGTCCACCACGAAGACATTCATAAACCGCTCGACCGTAGTTTTTAGCGGATAACCCCAATTTGGGTTTAATAGTACATCCCAGCAGAGGACGCCCATACTTGTTCAATTTATCTCTCTCAACTTGGATTGCCGTGAGGCGGACCTTGAAAAGTTTTAGTATAAGCTGGAGGTATTCTAAGATCTTCGAGACGTAAAGCGCGGAGTGCTTTAAACCCAAATACATTACCTACAATCGAAGTAAACATATTCGTAACAGAACCTTCTTCAAAAAGGTCTAAAGGGTAAGCTACATAAGCAATATATTGATCTTTTTCTCCAATAACACGCTCAATGCGATAGCATCGGCCCTTGTACCGATCAAGGCTGGTAAGTCCATCGGTCCACACGGTTGTCCATGTTCCAGTAGAAGATTCCGCAGCTACCGCGGCCCCCGCTTCTTCAGGGGGAACTCCGGGCTGAGGAGTGACTCGAAATGCTGCCAAGATATCAGTATCTTTGGTTTCGTAATGAGGAGTATAATAAGTCAATTTGTAATCTTTCACACCGGCTTTGAATCCAACACGTGCTTTAGTCTCTGTTTGTGGTGACATATATTCCTCCTTATAACTCATAAATTCATAATTCTGACAACAAAACGATCTACTCGACCTAAATTATGCGTGAATTTTGCTTTTGGTCGGAATCGTTCACAAAATTCCCCCCGAGTACTCAATATTATCTATTATCAACTAAATCCTAATTTTTTATTTTTAAACTAAAAGCATTTGAGTCATTTTTCAAATGCATCAATATTGTATACTCTTTTGTATATCTAGTGCAACCCAGTTTTTTCAATTTCACTTTTTTTACACTACCTCTCTAACTTAATAAAAAAATTAAAAAAACTAATGGGATAGAAATAAAAAATTCTAATGAAATACTTTCCCAATATTTTTATTTCCACCACTTTAAAATGATTTACCTATTTTAGTTCCTTCATTCGACAAAAAATTAAATTGATTGGATACTGGATAATATCTGGATAATATAAAAAAAGACAGCGAGAATCCCCCCTTTTTTTCTTATTACATTTATTGAATTAATCTTGCGCTTGCGGACAGTTATTTGTAATTTGAAAAGTTTTGTAAATTTTTTTTTTATGGGAAGCACTCCTACGACTTATGGTTCTGAGGTTTCCTCAATTGAAAAAAAAAATATAGGACATATCGTCCAAATAATGGTCCGGTACTAGATGTAGCTTTTCGCCCTGGCAAGATGCCTTATATTTATAATGCTCTAGTAGTTCAAGGGCAAGCCAGTAAACAAATGAACGTGACTTGTGAGGTTCAGCAATTATTGGGAAATAATCGAGTTCGAGCTGTAGCTATGAGTGATACAGATGGTCTAATGAGAGGGATGGAAGTGATTGATACGGGAGCTCCTATAAGTGTCCCGGTCGGTGGATCAACTCTGGGACGAATTTTCAACGTGCTCGGAGAACCTGTTGATAATTTAGGGCCTGTCGATACTAATAAAAAATCTCCTATTCATAGATCTGCGCCCCGCCTTTATACAGTTAGATACAAAATTATCGATTTTTGAAACAGGAATTAAAGTAGTAGATCTTTTAGCCCCCTATCGCTGTGGAGGAAAAATCGGACTATTCGGGGGAGCTGGAGTGGGGAAAACAGTACTCATTATGGAATTAATTAACAATATTGCCAAAGCGCACGGAGGAGTATCCGTATTTGGCGGAGTGGGTGAACGTACTCGCGAAGGAAATGATCTTTATGTGGAAATGAAAGAATCCGGAGTAATTAATGACCAAAATATTGCAGAATCAAAAGTGGCCCTAGTTTACGGTCAGATGAATGAACCACCAGGAGCTCGTATGAGAGTTGGTTTGACTGCCCTAAACTATGGCGGAATATTTCCGAGATGTTAATGGGCAAGATGTACTTCTATTTATTGATAATATATTTCGTTTCGTTCAAGCGGGATCAGAAGTATCCGCCTTACTGGGTAGAATGCCTTCTGCTGTAGGTTATCAACCGACCTTGAGTACAGAAATGGGTTCTTTGCAAGAAAGAATTACTATCCACCAAAGAGGGTTCCATAACCTCGATACAAGCAGTTTATGTACCTGCAGATGATTTGACTGATCCTGCCCCCTGCTACGACATTTGCACATTTAGATGCAACTACCGTACTCTCAAGAGGTTTAGCTGCTAAAGGTATCTATCCAGCAGTTGATCCTTTAGATTCAACGTCAATGATGCTGCAACCTCGGATCGTTGGTGAGGAACATTATGAAACTGCGCAACGAGTCAAGCAAACTTTACAACGTTATAAAGAACTTCAGGACATTATAGCTATTCTTGGGCTCGACGAATTATCCGAAGAAGATCGTTTAAAACGTGGCAAGAGCGCGAAAAATTGAGCGTTTCTTTATCACAACCTTTTTTCGTAGCAGAAATATTTCACCGGTTCTCCAGGTAAATATGTAGGTCTCGCTGAAACAATTAGAGGATTTCTTTTAATCCTTGCTGGCGAATTAGATGGTCCTTCCTGAACAGGCTTTTTATTTGGTAGGGAATATCAATGAAGTTACCGCGAAGGCAATTTCACTTAAAAAAGTAGAAATTTAAAAATAGGGAAGGATTTGAATAAATGACTTTAAAACTTTGTGTACTGACCCCTAATAGAATTGTTTGGGATTCAGATGTGGAAGAAATCATTTTATCCACTAATAGTGGGCAAATTGGAATATTACCCAATCACACACCTATTGCCACAGCTGTAGATATAGGTATTTTGAAAATACGCCTTAACGGCCAATGGTTAACGACGGCACTGATGGGGGGGTTTGCTCGAATAGCGAATAATGAAATCACTGTTTTGGTAAATGATGCTGAAAAAGGTAGTGAGATTGATCCCAAGAAGCTCAGCAAACTCTTAAAATAGCAAAAGATATTTTAAAAAAAGCTGGAGGAAAGAGACAAAAAATTGAGGCAAATCTAGCTCTACGCCGAGCTCAAACACGGATAAAGGCGATCCATAATATTTCCTAAAAAGCCGCTCTTTTAAAAATACATGAATCTATATTCAAAAGGATAGGTCACAAACTTATTAGATATCTCAGTGGATGGTATCTAATAAGTTGTTCTACCTACTATTGGATTTGAACCAATGACTCCCGCCGTATGAAAGCAGTACTCTAAACCGCTGAGTTAAGTAGATATTTTTATATGCTTCAGAAAATACAATAAAATCCCGCCCATCAATAGAAATTCAATGTATTATAAATATTCTATTCCGAATAAGGAATGTCACTCAAACTTTTCAAATATTTTGGTTTGGATATTTTTATATTTTTCATATAATATACATAGATAATATAAATAGATAATAAGTATAATCACTAATCATTAATCATTCATTAATATAATAATCATAATAATGTGAATTAATCTTGACAATAAATTATTTACATCACAAAATCGTAACTACTAAAGGAAATAAATTTTGAAAAGAATTTTTTTTTTTATTTTTTTAGAAAGGAAGCAAAATTTTGATTAAGATAGTTGTAAGTTCCGATGTGAGTCAATTGCTACTATGATTTCAAAAAGCGATTTTCCATATGGAAAAGCCAGCTATCGGAATCGAACCGATGACCATCGCATTACAAATGCGATGCTCTAACCCCTGAGCTAAGCAGGCCGAACTTGAATATACACGATAATTCAATAAAAAAAAAAGAAAAAAACGTGGGAAGATTTCATTCTTATTTAGAATGAGTAAACAAAAAAGAAATTTATTTGAATCTTTGAATGTACTTTATTTTTTAGCTAGCTAAAAAATAAAAGAAGAGAAAAAACTCTCTGATGAATGCTAATGAATGGAATGTTTGAAGCTAAATGAAATAAATGAGTACACGAGATGCCTCCCCATACGGGGATCAACATAAAAAAAGGGGATATGGCGAAATTGGTAGACGCTACGGACTTAATTAGATTGGGCCTTGGTATAGAAACTTACTAAGTGATGACTTTCAAATTCAGGGGAACCCTGGAATTAATAAAAGGGGCAATCCTGATCCAAATCCTTTTGAAAAAACTTAAAGGATAGGTGCAGAGACTCAACGGAAGCTATTCTAACAAAGGGATTTGACTAAACTAACTACTTTAATATTCATTGAATTTATTGAATCATTAATTCCATAATAGATTCTGAAATTTCGATTTTACGAACCAAACTTCTGAATGGGACAAGAATAAAGAGAGAGTCCTTTTCTACATGTAAATACATACAAAAATGAAAGTTTTAGTAAGAGGAAAATCCGTCGACTTTAAAAATCGTGAGGGTTCAAGTCCCTCTATCCCCAAAAAACCTAGTAGATTCCTATCCTTATCCCCTCCCTTTGTCTTTTTAGTGGTGGTTTTTTGTGGTTGTTTAAAGTGAAAAACTAAAGTCTAAAGGTCCTTTTATTATTTTATTATAAGTTCTAATAAGTCTTATTCCTGTGAGCGATTTTGAATACTTGAATTCAAAAGTAACATATTTGAGTTTTGAAGTGAAAATAAAACTCAATTTTAGGACTTTTCTAAAAGTTTGTAATCCGCTTTTTATCTTTTCATTGCATTGATATTGATATAGAATTGTAGAATGTAGAATTGATATAGATATAGATATATATCCCACGACCTAATCAAATGAGTATCTATCTTGGGAATGGTCGGGATAGCTCAGCTGGTAGAGCAGAGGACTGAAAATCCTCGTGTCACCAGTTCAAATCTGGTTCCTGGCATTACGATTTCTTTATCTATCAAATATCATATATATAACATAAAAAAAAGAGATGGGTAGAGTTTCGTAAGGTTCTATTAAGGTTTTATATTGCTATTTCTTCTTTTTATTCAATTTGAACATTTCAATATCAAACGTTATATAGAAAATAGGGTTTTCCGTTTATCATCCATATTAGTATTTAAATTTATGTTTATATTAAATTTATATTAAAATATATCTATTCTAAATATTTCCGTTAAAATCCATATGAAATATTATATATGAATATAAAATATATGATATATGATCTAGATAGGTTAAATATGAAATTAAATATTTAATAGGTGGTTCTTTTCAAGTTAAAAAAGCATAGCTCAAATCTGAAATCAGAAACATAATAAAAAAAAAAGGCTTTATTTATATTAAGATTTATCTTAAGGAGATATTACGATGAACAATTGGGAGGATAACTTTTGGATTGTTGAACAGAGAGCGATACTTAGAAATAGACTGATAGTGGACACTAAAGAAAGTTAATTCTAGTGATAATAGGAGAGAAGATAGTGATAGAGATAATGACACAGATAATTCTAGAGCGACGAGGGAGGGGACTTATAGAAATTAAAAATAAAGGCATCATAATAGAATATCAGAGTACACAGCAACAATACATATGTATTGAAATACTAAACAATAATAAAAAAAAAGGAGTATTTATGTCGCGTTATCGGGGACCTCGTTTCAAAAAAATACGCCGTCTTGGGGCTTTACCAGGGCTAACTAATAAAAAGCCTAGCGATATACGGGATCTTCGAAACCAATCTCGTTCCGTGAAAAAATCTCAATATCGTATTCGCCTAGAAGAAAAACAAAAATTGCGTTTTCATTATGGTCTTACAGAACGTCAGTTAATTAACTACGTTCGGATTGCCGGAAAAGCCAAGGGGTCCACAGGGGAAGTTTTACTCCAATTACTTGAAATGCGTTTGGATAACATACTTTTTAGATTGGGTATGGCTTCTACTATTCCTGCAGCTCGTCAATTAGTTAACCATCGACATATTTTAGTGAATGATCGTATAGTCAATATACCCAGTTATCGCTGCAAACCTCGAGATATTATTACGCCGAAGAATAACCAAAAATCAGTAGGAGATCTTTTTCAAAATTATCACGAGGAATTACCAAACCATTTAACCATTCACCCAGCGCCGTATAAAGGCTTAGTAAATAACATAATAGATACTAAATCGGTCGGTTTGAAGATAAATGAATTGCTAGTCGTAGAATATTATTCTCGTCAGACTTAAATCTAACGAACATAATAGAGGTTACTCCAACTTTTTTCGGGAAACTCAATTTACTTAAAGTGAACTAAGATAAATCCGGGTTTGATGCTACTTTATTAAAGCTCTGTCTCAGAGATAAAGAGCCAAGGGATCACTAGATTCATTGCTAGGGTTGAATCCTTTGGTGATAGTCAATTCGGTAAATTGACTTAAGGTACGGAAAGAGAGGGATTCGAACCCTCGGTAAACACAAGCCTACATAGCAGTTCCAATGCTACGCCTTTAAACCACTCGGCCATCTTTCCTATATAAATAGTATGTCTAAAAGTCTAAAAATACGAGTGAGTAGCGAGTATTTTATATTCCTTATTTTTAATTTTTAGGATTATTAGATTATATGACCAATATATCAAGTCAAAGCAAATTTTGAACAAAATTTGTTTTGAAAAAAAAAGACTCAGATTTAGAAAACCAAGGTTTTCTTCTGTATCTTGTTAGTGAGTTTATTTTCATCCTAGAAAGATTTTTCTAGATTTTATTTTTCAATATATTTTATGTTATTTTGTACTATCGTATTTGTACTCTAAAATTCTGTTTATGTGGGCCCACACGAGCAGAATAAAATGAAAAATGGATTTCTACCTATGTCTAGATCTCGAATAAATGGAAATTTTATTGATAAAACCTTTTCAATTGTCGCGAATATCTTATTACGACTAATTCCGACAACAGCAGGAGAAAAAGCGGCATTTACCCTATTACAGAGATGGTGTGATTTGATTATTGATTTATCATTTCGTTCTTTTTTTCTTTCATCTTGAATAATTTTTCTAAGTTTTATGAGAAATACAGACACGTTAAGTTATTGATTAAGTGATTGAAAAAAATCTCCGCTTATTGAAGGTGAAGTTTTTATTCAATTTAACAATTCCTTCTGTCGTGTAATCCTCGATTAATGTAACCTAAAATGCTAGATTTGATTTATCAATTTTAGTCTTAAGCGGAAGGTTAGACCTATAGGTTTGGACTGGTAAATCCTATTTTATTAGTGCTAATAAAGAACATAGGGGAATAATCACTACATCTAGGAATCAACAAAATGAAAACTTTGTTTTAAATCAACCACTTCTTTTTGTGCTTTGGAGTGAAAGAATGGTTGCGAACACAAGCATCCATCTCGTTCGTATGTGGATACCTGTATAACTATCGAAGGCTGTTGAAGTGACTAATTTCCGGAAATTAGCAGGCGTTGAAAACAAATAAATGATTTAGGAGTTTTTTATGATTTCTACATATATAAAAAAATTTTAGTTTGATAATAGGAAAAGGGGTCTTACAGGAAGGTTGGCTAGAGATTTCTTGTATAAACACTAGCACTAGCTCTACTCAGTCGATAATCAGAATATTTATATTTCTTAGATTTTCCTTTTTTTTGATTAAATGCATTCTCATTATGCACAGAAGGGAGGAGAGGAGCCGTATGAGGTGAAAATCTCATGTACGGTTTTGGAACGGAGATTCTTTTTTTTTTAATTGATTACTAACGACCGTAACGTATGTCGGCTCAATCCGAAGGAAAATATGCGGAAGCTTTACAGAATTATTATGAAGCTATGCGACTAGAAATGGATCCCCTATGATCGAAGTTATATATTGTATAATATAGGTCTTATCCACACAAGTAATGGTGAACATACAAAAGCTTTGGAATATTATTTTCGAGCACTAGAACGAAATCCATTCTTACCACAAGCTTTGAATAATATGGCCGTTATCTGTCATTACCGGGGAGAACAGGCTATTCAAGAGGGAGATTCTGAAATTGCGGAGGTTTGGTTCGCTCAAGCCGCGGAGTATTGGAAACAAGCCATAGTGCTTACTCCAGGTAATTATATAGAAGCCCATAATTGGTTGAAGATCACGGGGCGATACGAATAAAAAAATGTACTCTACTTTGCCTCGCTTTCTTTGAACAATTTATTCTTTTCTTTAATTCTATGCCTTACTAAATGTCCTATATCATTTAGTATTTTTAGTATTTTGGAAGACAAATAGGGTAAAAAATATACTTTTTTTCTTTTTATCATATTTATGATAAAAAGAAAAAAAGTATTAATGATTCATCGCATCAGTTCAAATAGGGGTAACAGCGCAATTCATATCTTCTAGGTAAAAAATCGATCTAAGAGTTTCAAAAAGCCATTTTACGTAAAAAGGTCCGCTGAGCACTTAATATATATGTCATAATAATCCGACCACTTGTCCCGTAGCAACTTTTATATCATAATTGCTTTAGATAAAAATAAACCAAAGGTGAAATTGGCGGGTCTCTTTGTATATGTTGTCCGTAAAGAAAATAGGAGGACTCCATGATTATTCGTTCGCCGGAACCAGAAGCCAAAATTTTAGTGGATAGGGGACCCTGTAAAAACATCTTTTGAGGAATGGTCCAGACCTGGCCATTTCTCAAGAACACTAGCTAAAGGTCCTGATACTACCGCTTGGATCTGGAACCTACATGCTGATGCTCACGATTTTGATAGCCATACTAGTGATTTGGAGGAGATATCGCGAAAAATATTTAGTGCTCATTTTGGGCAACTCTCTATAATCTTTCTTTGGCTTAGTGGTATGTATTTTCACGGTGCTCGTTTTTCCAATTATGAAGCGTGGCTAAGTGATCCAACTCATATTGGGCCTAGCGCCCAAGGTAGTTTGGCCAATAATAGGTCAAGAAATATTGAATGGTGATGTGGGAGGGGGTTTTCGAGGAATTCGAATAACCTCTGGTTTTTTTCAGCTATGGAGAGCATCTGGAATCACTAGTGAATTACAACTCTATTGTACCGCAATTGGTGCATTGGTCTTTGCAACGTTAATGCTTTTTGCTGGTTGGTTTCATTATCATAAAGTAGCTCCAAAATTGGCTTGGTTTCAAGATGTAGAATCTATGTTGAATCATCATTTGGCGGGTCTACTCGGACTTGGTTCTCTCGCTTGGGCGGGGCATCAAGTACATATTTCTTTACCGATTAACCAATTTCTAAATGCTGGAGTCGATCCTAAAGAAATACCACTTCCTCATGAATTTATCCTTAATCAAAATCTTATGGCTCAACTTTATCCCAGTTTTGCCGAGGGAATAACCCCGTTTTTCACCTTAAATTGGTCAAAATATGCCGATTTTCTTACGTTTCGGGGAGGATTAGATCCTGTAACTGGTGGTCTATGGCTGACCGATATTGCACACCATCATTTAGCTGTTGCTATTATTTTCCTTATGGCGGGGCATATGTATCGTACCAACTGGGGCATTGGTCATGGACTCAAAGATATTTTATACGCCCATAAGGGTCCATTTACAGGTCAGGGCCATAAAGGTCTATACGATATCCTAACAACATCATGGCATGCTCAATTATCTATTAACCTAGCAATGCTAGGCTCTTTAACTATTATTGTAGCTCACCATATGTATTCCATGCCCCCTTACCCATATCTCGCTACTGACTACGGTACACAACTGTCATTATTCACACATCACATGTGGATTGGTGGATTTCTTATAGTAGGTGCTGCCGCTCATGCCTCCATTTTTATGGTAAGAGACTACGATCCAATTAATCGATACAACGATCTCTTGGACCGTGTCCTTCGACATCGTGATGCTATAATCTCACATCTGAACTGGGTATGTCTATTTCTCGGCTTTCACAGTTTTGGTTTGTATATTCATAATGATACAATGAGCGCGTTAGGGCGTCCTCAAGATATGTTTTCAGATACTGCTATACAATTACAAACCTGTATTTGCTCAATGGATACAAAACACCCATACTTTAGCACCAGGTACAGCAGCAAGCACCAATTTTACTTGGGGGGATATAGTAACAGTGGGTGGTAAAGTAGCTTTGGTCCCTATTCCATTAGGAACCGCGGATTTCTTGGTCCATCATATTCATGCATTTACGATTCATGTGACAGTCTTTATACTCTTGAAAGGTGTTCTATTTGCTCGCAGTTCCCGTTTGATACCGGATAAAGCAAATCTTGGTTTTCGTTTTCCTTGTGATGGACCTGGAAGAGGGGGTACATGTCAAGTATCGGCCTGGGATCATGTTTTCTTAGGCCTATTTTGGATGTACAATTGCATTTCCGTAGTCATTTTTCATTTCAGTTGGAAAATGCAGTCAGATGTTTGGGGCAGTATAAATGATCAAAGAGTAATAACTCATATAACCGGAGGGAACTTTTCCCAGAGTTCTATTACTATTAATGGGTGGCTTCGCAATTTCTTATGGGCACAGGCCTCCCAAGTAATTCAGTCGTATGGTTCTTCATTATCTGCATATGGCCTTTTTTTCTTGGCTGCTCATTTTGTATGGGCTTTTAGTTTAATGTTTCTATTCAGTGGACGTGGTTATTGGCAAGAACTTATAGAATCCATAATTTGGCTCATAATAAATTAAAAGTTGCTCCTGCTACTCAGCCAAGAGCCTTGAGCATTGTACAAGGACGTGCTGTAGGAGTAACCCATTACCTTCTGGGTGGAATTGCCACAACATGGGGCATTTTTCTTAGCACGAATTATTGCAGTCGGATAATGGCTAGGAGGATTTGAAAGGCGCTATGGCATTAAGATTTCCAAGGTTTAGCCAAGGGCTTAGCTCAGGACCCCACTACTCGTCGTATTTGGTTTGGTATTGCTACTGCACATGACTTCGAGAGTCATGATGATATTACAGAGGAAACGCTTTTATCAGAATATTTTTGCTTCGCACTTTGGTCAATTGGCAATAATTTTTTTGTGGACTTCTGGGAATCTATTTCATGTAGCTTGGCAAGGAAATTTTGAGTCGTGGATACAGGACCCTTTACATGTACGACCTATTGCTCATGCTATTTGGGATCCGCATTTTGGTCAACCGGCCGTGGAAGCTTTTACTAGAGGGGGTACCCTTGGCC